GATTTCTCTTTAGATGTGCTTTGCATTGCGTTGTATTTAACGTTTTCAGTAGTTTGAAGTATAATTACTGATTATATTGCGTGACATTGTGAACACTTTCAGGAATATTTCTGAGGAAAATTCCAGAGTTCTGATATATTTCTTTTGATAAAAATAAATTTTATGAACCTATTATCGAACTTGATCATTCAATCTGTTACGAATCCGTACGCAAGCAGCAATGCATATTATTTTACTTTACTAAAATAAAACATTAAATTTTGTAATTTACGAATTTCTTCCCCCTTCTTATGTATTGGAACACATGTGTGCATTTTCTCCACCTTCAGTTATCAGCTGTATGTTATAAACCAGTAGAATAGTTATAAACCAGCTAGAAACGCAATTGATTTTATGCAATTCAGTATCAAGTGAAATCTTGAAACTGGAACACTTACACGCTATGTAGTTTTCATTCAAAGCGGAGCTCAGATAATGTACCTCGAATTATTTTTCATGCTAAGTTATTTATGCAAATAATATAAGTCCTGGTAATGTTTTTGTAATAAAATGCATGTTAGTAATTGATTTCTGATTTCCGTTATATCTTGATGTTGCTGCCAAAGATATTCGATCACGAATTTTTTGCTACGTTTGTGTCTATGAATAGATTAGACTATTTCTCCGTGTACTAGCAGGATTTGATAATGATTTATCCAATTTTGAATGAAAAATTATAGATAGGAATAGTGTACGATTTTGTAATACAAATAAAAATATAAAGCTGTCTATTTTATATTCATATATATTTATAATATAATTACAAAACATCTTTTGAAAACTAACACAAACTGCCTGTCTTTCGCACTATCTGCAAAATTATCATCAAGTCATAAGCAAAACTTTAGCACAAATTTCACAAGACAGAAAATGAAATTCATAATAACATATAAATACACAATTAATTTTAAATGTTAAGCCAAACATTCCAAACAACATGAATTTTAAGTAAATTAAACAAAACCAGAAGAGGAATTCAATCAATCTCAATGTCACTTCATCAGGGGGGGGGGAGGAACTTTGAAACTAATTGAAATCTCTATTCTACAAAAATCCTTGTTTTTCTGTATTCAAAATTAGCCGATGAACCATTTCAATATTTTACACTATGTACGTATACACATAATATGAAGCGTAAAATAATTTATATCATTTTTACGTAACTATGAAAGTACCAAAAAAGCTTAAAATATGGTATTTTTAAAAAGCGAAGTTAAATTCTGGTCGCCTTGGCAAAAAGACACTTGTTGTTGTTGCACCAACTGTCTTAATTCACTAATAGTTTTATATGTAAACAAATGACTGCCTCGTTAGGCTTAGCATGACTTAAACTTTTAAGTTATTGATAATTTCACAATTATTGTATGCAGATTAACTAAAGTATAAAAGCCTTACCCGGAACATAAGAAAAATACAATTCAATCACTTTTAAAGCACAAAATGCACAATTAAACAACATACAAGAGTAAGAAAACAGAGCTCACTGAGCCTTGTAAAAATGTATACACACACACACATATAATAATAATAATAATAATAATAATATATGTATATATATATATATTTGCTGCGGCTGATTGGAAAGAAAAGAGAGGTGAGCAACCAGTTGTTATGGCAGTCCCATATACAGCATTTCAACGTTCTATGGTTCATCATGTTTGGATTATTCAAGATGCGTACATCGCAGAGACGTTATAAGAAAATACCTTCTGAATCCATTTTACAATCCGTTTTGTATTAAAGAGTATTTTATTCTGCCCCTACATACAAATGTCACTCAAAAAATCATCTAAATTATATTCGAGAAAGGTCAAAATGAATATTTTCGATGAAATGTAATACCAGAATTTTTTTTTGCGATTACAATACTTTCATTACTTCCAACAAGGAATTTAAAAAGAAAAAAAAAAAAAAGAAAAAAGAAAAAAATGCTTTAACTCTATTAGCTTTTTAAAATGAAAGTGAATGTAAAGTTTTGCATAGTTCGCAATAATTTTACAGGTAACATTTTTGAACAAGATTGTCAAAATGATAAATATTTTCTTCTCTGAAAAAGAAAATAATAATGGTAAGAATGCTTACCGATAGAGGGCAGCTTTATTGTACTGTGATCGGGTATGTTTGGAACTTCGTTTATCTGAATTAATCCAAGCAGCAATATTTAGTTACCGATTGTTTAATTTTAGTTAAAAAAGTGAAGTACCGAAGACTGTCGGCAGCATTCGGATTTATAAATTTTTCAAAAATAGCATATGGCCAGACATATATTGATAAAATGTAAACTAATTTTTGACTATAAGTTTTAAAATTAATGCTATTCTAAGAGTTAAATTATAAATTTGTTCTTTGAAACTAGATATTATTGTAACTTTTTAAATTAGATATTATTCCTTTTAAATTAGATACAGAAAGCAAAAATTCATCTGTAATTTTAAAACAACTTTTAGATTTTTCATTTTTGTTATAACTGTCTTTTTTAAAACACTAAAACACACAGTTTGTTATAATTGTCTTTTTTAAAGTTTAAAATTAAGCAAACAGGCCTTAGTTTACGTAGATTTTGGAAAAAGAACTCTATCGATTTCCAGGCTATTAGATACAGGTCCCTTTTCTTCAGAAGTTAAAATGTATAAACTTTGATATAACTGATGTATTATTTTTAATATTTAAATATAGTTTTTTTATAAAATACGCAGTTTTTTTATTTTAAAGAAGTCTGACATTTATTTGACAAATTTCTTCAAAGTTTCTTAAAATTGATGAACAAAAGGTTGTTGTTGAAATTTTAAAGTGTTGAACAAAAGGTTGAAATTTTAAAGAAATCAATTTACTGAATTCTTGTTTTCAGTATTTGGTGTCAGCAAAATAGCAGAAATATTCCTGAAAACTTATTCGTTGATTAAATACTGAAAAACAAAACATTCTAGAAATTCAAATTCAGATTTTCTTTTCCCATAAAAAAATATCTGAATTTATTTATATAATGGACTTTTGAGATAAAGTATCATTTGATATTTGTCTCGTATTTCACTTAAATAAGAATTATCAATTTAGATTTTTTTTTAATATAATTTTATTCTTTAATGTTATAAAGCAAACTAGAAGGGAGAAAAATTTTATATTTTTCTTTAATCAATTTTCTCTGAAAACAATTTATTTCTGTTAAAACTTCCTTTATTTAGCATTCTTTATCTGTTTGAACTCAAGTAAGGAATTTCATACAAGTATTGCCAATTTCCAGAACAGAAGGTAAAAATTTCAGATCCCGAAATTTAACAGAGCATCAAAACTGATAAATTCAAATTTTTTGGAACACTGCAAACAGTGTCAAATAAGTTCTGAATAATTAAAACTATATGCATTGCAACATTTTATTTATTAAAATATTAACAGAGGTTATAAAATAAATTGTTTATTATAGTACTTCATCTGCAACAAAATTTTAAAATAGGCAATATGCAAAAATAAATAAAATAGAAATTTCTCAATTCGTTCTATGAATAAAAATTTCATTTCAATGAATATCTGCTCTGAGAGTAATTATAAAGTCAAGGTCCTTCAGATTCTGTTGTTTTTTGCTACATTATTAATGGAAACGTATTTGCTGAAATGAAAAATGAAATTGAAATTAATGAAAAGATATTGCTATACGAGTTTAAAACGACTTAAATATGGATTATTAAAGTAGATATATATGTATTGTCACAGATATCAAGGAGTAAAATTATATTAATTCAATATTCTTTTTTTTTTTTTTTTTTTTTTTTTTTTTTTTTTTTTTTTTGGCGTATTATTTATCATAGTCAGTAATGTAAGTCTTCTAACAATTCTTCATCTTATCCATCATTTATTTACATAAACCAAAATATATAAGCAAAAAACTATATATTATTATATACAGGGTGACTAATTCATGGTACAAACTTTGAGAATGGTACAGAACATTGTATAATCATCACATTTTGTAAATTAATTTTAATTTACTTTAATTAATTTTTTATATTAAATTAAGTTTGTAAATTAATTTTTGTGAATTAATCACATTTTTTAAATTAATTTCCACTTGTAAACGAGGTTATAAAAATAAAACAATTTCTCTATCAAACACTGAAAACAATTTTTTTTTAAAAAAATATATAAATATGTTTAGTATTTTCGCGCATAAAGCTGGTGAAAAATTATCATTAAAGACATAAAGTAAGAAATTTAGAATTTTCACAATGACCAAAAATTGAAATTCATAATTAGTCAATTTCAAATAATCCTATAAATGCAACAAAGAATTTAAAAAAAAAATTAAAACCAAAACTTTTCAAACAAGCAAAACGCCACTTAAAAAAAATAATGAAATTTAAAGAAAATGAAAATAACAAAAGAGGAATTCAGTCAACTTCAATGCAACTTTGTCAAGGGGACGGAACATTGAAATCAATTGAAATCTCTCTTCTACAAAAATCCTTGCTTTTCTGTGTCCAGAATTAGCCGATGAACCATTTCAATGTATTTTAATTATAATAGTTCACCCGAAAATTCTGGCCCTTCCCCAAAGGGAAAAACAAGCCCTTACCCAAAGCAAGGTAAATTTTAATTAGAATCTTGTACGTTAAGTAAAAAGAATTCTATTTTGTTTAAAGAATTGAAACCGAAAGTGAAAAATTAAAACACTTCAGTGAAAAATATAAATCAAAATTTTATCTTTAAACAATAGCATATAACCCAAAGAATTTTAATCTTTAGGGTAATTATATGAAAAGACTTAATCAAAACTCACAAAAAAATATTTTAAATTTATTAATTATGAATTTCAAAATTTTTGGTCTTTGTGAAACATTAATTCTAAATTTCTTACTTTATGTCTTTAAGAATTATACATAAACAATATATATGTGTGTGTGTGTGTGTGTGTGTGTGTGTGTGTGTATTAACAAATTATATAAGCAGAAAAATATTATTTGACTTACATATATGGTACATTTTGATAATAACTTTTTGTTTTATCGACACCATCATAATAATGCACATCTACTAATTTCTACAGAGATATTTTACTTATGTCTCAAACCCACGAACGCAGTAACTAAGAATATATCTTTCCTCATAAGAAGATGATAGGTTAATTGTATTTTAACGAAGGTAGTAGATAAGGCTACGCCTAACGTTTAAAGGAAAGTAAGGTTTCTGAAAGAAGAAGTTTGAGGAAATCAGTCAAACTAAGAACGCAGTACTGTTACAAACAAAAGCATATACATATAAATAATGCTTCCAAAATTATCATGTGAAAAACGAGCGTGTGCATGAAGTATAAATTATTAAGTTATTGCTCGTTGATACACCAATTCATTACAAACGCAGTGAACTTAACAATGATAATCAAAGAAAATTGCACTACTAAATGTGTACTTATGTGTAAAATTAACTTTGTTAAAAACTTATAAATTAACTCACTTTTTATTATACGTTGGAAAGAAAAATCGGAGGAACAGTTATGAAAAGATGCTTTACGTAAAATCTGTTAACTGAAGTCTAACGAAAGGAAATTCGTTTGTAGCTTAATGTAAATGTTGTTCTGGTGCTCAATGGGTTTCACCTTTTTTATAGTCTGTTACTTTAAAATAGACTTTTAAAGGCCATTGCCAGCCCAACTCCATTTGAGATCTAACTCGTGTCCTCATGACAGGACAGCATTTAATTTCTGCACTTAATTTGAGGCTGCAGTTCAATTCAGACTTCATTCGTGCGTGTTTCGTGAAGCGGAACACGCTAAACTGAAAGAAAGTGGGTAAAAAGGAGTAAGGCTAGTCGATCTTTTCACCGCAGCTGTTGTTCTCATGGTTGCCAGTCGAATCGAGTAGCGAAAAATAATTTCTTTTTTTTATTTTTAAATAACAGATTACAAATAGAAAAATACAAATTTGCCTGTTCTATCGATAGGTGAGAAAAGGAGTGCAAAGGATTGTTTCAAATTCGGATTCCAAGGATTATATAAGTAGCTGGATAATGGTTTGCGTGTAGAAGGTGGAACATGCCGTTGAAAAGACATCTGACGGATTATGAAAATGGCGTACGATAGGACGACTGACAACAGGAGAGACACTAACATAGGTTTGCAAAGAGCTGAAAATTTGCAGAAACCCTCATGTCAGAAATCTGAAAACGGTTTAAAGACAATAGATATGTATGCGGACAACCATGTAAGATCGAAAATGGACCACATAAGACTCCCAGTATCATTATTTTGCAACGATTGGTAAACGAAATACAGAACTCACATCATCCCGGACTGCAAGGAACTTGCAGCAGCTACAGGATCTTGACTACCTTTCAGGCATACTCGACTATCTCAATCCAAATGTACCGTGAATAACAGGCTACATAAAAGAGGGCTGTGGGCAAGGAAATCCATGATTTGTGTGTTACTAATTCGAGCTGATTCAAAGATCATTTTGATTGGAAAGCAACGCACCGGAGCTGAGTTCTCTTTACTCATAAGGTCTCGGTTTTGTTTGTAGAAGGAGTGTAGAAGCGTGTTACAATCTAAAAGGAGCAAAACACAAGCAATAAACCTGAAAACATCCGTGAAAGACATTAATAAAAATGTAGTGAAATCATGGTAAAGAACTCGTGGTATCATTTTGAATGTCACCCTGTCCTACACATTTTTGTCACTGCAATTATGCATATTGAAATGTACAGAAATGAGGTTCTTGATTTCATGTGAAAATTGGCGTTGTTTTGTGGGAAAGTATTGCAAATGACGTATTTTTCCTATTTTCCAACAAATGATGAATTAACGGCGTCGAATAGTCGGAAAAGTTTTTGTTATAAGAAATTTATGCCATTGAATTGAAAATTTATTCATGAAACTGAACTCCAGTAATTTGAAATGTTTTAATAATTCAGTTTAAGAAACTTGAATTTCAAACCCAGTTCTTTGGCATTTTATAATTCACGCTTTTTTCGTTATGTTCACAAATATTTTTCATATATTTCCATACACTTTACTTTTTGTACATAGTGTTTTTGGCATTCATAATTAAAAGCTTCGGAACAAATAAAACTACTGGAGTTTTTGGCAAATAGGAGACGGATGGTGCGGACAGCAATATTTGGTTTCCTGCCGGCAAAGTCCTTGTTTCTTACGTCCCTCGTAGAAACAAAGCTTAATTCTTCTTTCTACTATTCATGATAATACCAGCATTGATACAACCACAAATGAGCCTAAAATAATCAAGGATTATAATGCTACGAAAGGAGCATTATAATCCTTTCGTGGCATAATTAAAGGAGTAATAAAGGAGTAAAAAGGAGGAGTGGACACCGTCGATAAATTGTGTGCAACCTATTCAGTTTTGAAAATCACAAGGTGGTGGTGGTGGTGGTGAACGGTGAGATGAATTGCTAATTAAGATTCATATAATGGTATATGCTGTATAGATGTAAAATCATAAAACATGAGATACATTAAAATACATAAATAGCAAACGTTCAGAATCTGACATACATTTAGCTTGACTGGCATGTTAAGATTCTGAGTAGCTGTTAGTTGTTGATCCATGACTTTGTAGCATCTGTAAGAAAATATTTAGGTAGTATAATTACAACGATTCTTATAGGCCAACTTGTGTTCACTGCTAGGTCCAGACCACTGGAAATTTTGCTTTGTAATGTTTTTATTTTAACTCTCACAAGAAGAGTTTTAAAAAAAACCTAAGTTAGGTACTTGTGCCCATTGCTTTTCAGAAAGTACACCAATGGGAAATGAAATCCCAACATCAAAAAGGAGTTGTATTTGGTAAACAAAAGTTAGGACCCGTTTGTCGCATATCTGAAAGATAACGTCCATTCAGATTTAGAGCTAGATAAACATGTGTGGTGCTATTAGTATTACTGTGAATACGCAAGTCACGCTTTCTTTAAATACACTATGTAAGCTTCTGGTACACTATTTACCTTTCGGACTGACTGTGAGAGCAAAAGAAAAGAAAAAGGGCAGTATCAACATTTTACTGAGCTTGAACTAGGCCGTGTAATAAGGCTACGAGAAGATGGTTTTTCTTTTCTCGGTATTACAGAAAGACTCAGGGATGTATATACTGTGCATGCTTGCTGGCAGCAGTGATCACGATAAGGTACTTTCTCAAGAAGGCCGGGATTTGACCGCACACATGTCACCACTCAAAGAAAAATCAGCCGTATATATGTGGCGGATCACAGTACATCTTCGGTAAACATTAGACATTTTTTTGGCATCAGAGTTACACAGCGAACTGTAACAAATCGATTACTTGGGAGACAGCTCCGACGAACCAGACGCCCTGTAGCGGCCATAACACTTACTCTAAATTACCATTATCTGTGATTTCGGTGGTGTCAAGCCAACACATAAAACTTAAGAGTCTTCTTAAACGTGAGAGTGATAACTAATATTTAAACTGCACATAGCTACGTTTTGATGATATATTTAGAACTATGTTTTGCATGGAGAGCTCAATCCCATTCCGGCAGCCCTGGTTTACCATGTTTCAACTTCTCAGTCAACGGATATTCTTTAAGGTTGGAATGTTGTGCATTACCTTGGGTCTTACGCCGATCATAGAAAAATAGTTTCTGGCAAGTCTTAAGAGGACTATACGATTTCTCAAGATGCAATAAATAAAACTGTTCTTTAGTGACAGGCGTTTTGTTAACGATTTGAAAAACCAAGTTAACTCATCAAGAAGGAGTTGAATGTGATAAAACTCCTTCTTGATGAGTTAACCTGGTTTTTATTTCACAATTGTTCTGAAATATACTTTTATATTTAATCGGGTTTTATTTCTTATAGTAAACATGATTTTAGAAAGACGGTCTGCTTTTTCTGCAGTGTTTTGTAAATCGTCTATGTGCCATTTCAAGATAGTATTATGATTGCAACTATGTGCCATTTTGATTTTCTTAAATTATGCTTAAAAAACTTTGCAGGCACCCATCAGCTGGCTCCACATGTCCGATAGGTCAACTCGTATATTTTCGCTCTTTGCTGTAACGGCGAATAAGACATTAATTAGTTCTATTTACAAAATTCATCTGCAGTTTTATATCATGAATAATAAAAGCGTGGTACTTCGTTAATAAATCCCTGAAGATAATAGTTTATACTTCTGTCAATGGAATTTGATTATTTGATTCCATTATTTGGGCATCCATGTTTTTATTATTCGTAATGCAACACTGTAGGTGAATTTTGTAAAGAGAATTACTTATTCTCTTATTTCCATTAAACTATATTATAAAATGTGTTTCTCCTTGCAGTTCATTAATTATCTTATGAGTTTTAAATAAAAACTTTGTTAAAAAATAATAATTTTTGTTTTCATCTTTTCGTCTCAATGACACGTTAGTAATTAAATTAATCAATTGAAAGTAGTTTTCCTCGTTCTGTCTCATAGAAATACAGTCAGTCTAATTTTGGGAAAACTTCTGTTACATAAGAATTGTAGAACAATTATTAGAGATAGTTTATTGTTCAGAACTGTTCACGTGCAATATTGATATCGTCTTTAAGATTTTCATTTCAATTTAATACTTTGAAAGCAAGATTATTTAATATGTGATGGCAACAGTTAGAAAATCATTTGGTTTTTGAGCTGATTAAACTCTGATGAACCTTTTGCTGAGCATAGAATTCAGATAATATCTCTGTATCTTTAGCTGAGTGTAAAAAAAAAAAAAATCTTTCTGTGTAAATAAATCACTGCGTTGATGTTATGCAAATTCTGGTCAACTCGTATATGTATATGGTTCTTTCAAGAAGAAGCACATTAGTTTTTACAGAGAAGGCTCAGCTGCGAAGCGCATAGAGAACAGGTGCCTAGGCTAAAAGTCTCATCCTGTAAGTAACGCATGCAGAAATGGCATAGCTTTCCTACCATAACATTAGTAGATGTTGGCTGAGAATTCTAGAAAAAGGATTCTCGATGTTGATGAGATCAGCCTTGCGTATAACTACCCTCGGAGTTACTCCACCTAATAGACAGTAAAACTGCGTTGATAGAAAATGGAAGAATGGGAGAAATTTTGAAGAATCAAGTTCCCAA